ATTCGACTGGGATGAGCTGCTAAAAGGCAAGTGACACCAAACCTTGACCGTAGAGCTGAGCACGTAAGTGGTAGGGGTGATGAGGAAGACAAGCACTTGGGTCTCTTCTAAAGTAGAAAGTTATTGCAACTCTCTTTCACCCACCAAGCCCACTGCCCGGCCAGCTCCTTTCACAGAGAAAGACTGGCCCCATTTGGCATGAGTTGTATAAAATTTCACGGGAGGATTTCTGATTTAAATTTGGTTAAGTTGTCCACTTTTAATAAACGGCCACGTGGGGAAACTAACCAACACAAAACATGAATGAGTTGCGTGCCACTGTTGGTTGACAAGAAGTTTCCAGTCCATCGAGGTTAAGAAATTTAGGAGTAAAGCACACACCTGTAATCCCAGCACTCAGGGAGGCAGAGGCAGGCGGATCTCTGTGAGTCGTCTGGAAAAGAAGGAAGGAAGGAAGGGAGGGAGGGAGGAAGGAAGGAAGGAAGGAAAGAAGGAAGGAAGGGATAAACTAACATAGGAGCAAACCTTTTCCCTCTTTCCCATGTTGAAGCTGAACATCTTTCCAAACTCAGTCTGCCACTACACGGTTAAGTGTGCCTTGCCTCTGCCTTACTGTCCTTCCCACTCTTCCCTGATTGGTGTGTCTATCATCTAAAGATCACAGGTCACCTGTCTGGGCTGGCTAGAATCTGCTGTTTACAACTCACCACCACAGAGCAGGCCAACAACAAGGAAGTGCTTGTGATTTTACAACTGAAAGCTACCAGACTTTCTCATAAAGTCTCATCTAAGATGGGAAGGAATTGAGCTTAGGCCAGTATTAGGTGATGGGAAATTGCAGGGGAGGAACATCAGTCTTCCCCCAGCTTGTTCCTGTGACCTGGCAGTGAGCACCGTCAGGCTGCAAGCTTCCTTCTCCCTGGTCCTCTTGTAACTGCCATAAAACCTGAATATACCTGACCTCTTTCCTTGCTTTTTGTTGTTTCAGACTCAGGACAAATGACTGAGGTGCCTACTTAACATCTCAAAGTGGACTTGGATTCTTGGCTAGGCAACTTAGTCCACTTGATAATCCCCAGGCCAGTGAAGAGCCCTTGTCTCAAAAAACCAAGGTTGATAACTCTAACGGAATGACACTCTACATTGCCCTATCTCCACACAGGCGCACGAGTATCCACACGTACACATACACACAGCTTAACTTTTTGAAAAAATTTTTCTGTGTGTGTGTGTGTGTGTATATGAGTATGTACATATGCACACATGTAGGTGCCCACGGAAGCCAAAAGAGGACATCAGATCCCATAGGGCTGGAGTTAGAGGTGACTATGAGCTTCCCACTATGGGTTCTGGGAACCAAACCAGAGCCCTATTGGAGATCAGGAAGTGCTCTTAACTCTAGAGACATCTCTCCAGCCCCTAAGGCTCAATGTTTAGCTTGCAGAGAGTTAATTGACTCACCAAAAGCATGACAGCACATGGCCTAGAGACTGAAATCGAATGTGTCAACTCAAGGTTACTACAGCAAAGGAGAAAAGAAGATGGAGGCTACAGATAATTAAGACCTGGCTCAGCACATTGCCTCGCTGCCCATCGACCACCCGTCCTTCTTCAAGTTCCTGTAAAAGCCCTAAGCCTCTAGGTTCCCTGCCATCTTCTTGCTTTGCTGCTTTTCCAAATGATTATTTTCCCTTCCCCAGCAATCTGTCCCATTCACTGGAAATCTGAAAGAATTCAGTAGGCCTCTCTGGTGGCTACTCTCTGGAGGCTAAGGTGGGAGAATTACAAGTTCAGGGCTCACTTGCCTTCGTTATAGAGTGAGGTCAAGGGTACCCTGGGAAACTAAGTAAAGCCCTATCTCAAAATAAAAAACCTAAGACGGCCTGTAGTACAGCTCAGTGGGAGAGTGCTTGCCCCAAATACCTAAGGCCTTCGGTTCAATCCCTGTAAAGAGAAAACAAATTACACAGGCCGATTCTGCACCATCTGTCTACAAAGAAAACAGTTCCCGGTAGCAGAGGCAGACCTGGTACTCTCTTTACTGTAAGAGCTGAAGATTGGTCTTTTATTTGGTTACTGTCCTACCTACTGTGGTAAGTACGCCTCCCATCCCCGACCCTCTCCATTCCTACAGACTGGACAAAGACAGGGGAAACCCAACCATCCACTGGCTGCGCTGTATTTCCCCATGCCTAGAGCAGTCGCTGGTACACGAGTGTTCCTTAAGCACAGACTGAACCCTCAATACCTGAGCTGCCTTAGTGGTCTCTTGCTTGGACGCATGCGCAGAGCTAGATGCCTTACTGCTACTCCCGCTGCCCGGAGATTCTGTGAGCCTGCACGTTGAGAACCCCACAAGCGCCTTTGCTCTGAGCCAGCGGCTGTTTTGTAGAAGGGGGGAAAATGAAGTTAACCAGGAAGAAGGTGAGGGGGAGGGGCAGGGAGCTGGGTGAGCAGCGAGAGCATCTTAGAAGAAAAAGGAAGCCACTGCTCATGGGGTGTGGAGGGATCACGGTGACAGCGGGCTCTTTTCGATAGGACAAAGGGAGCAGGGAGCACGGAACAGTGATGCAGAGAACAGTGCTGGATTAGGCCAACGGAGGCCCCAAAATCTGAAAACAAAGGGCTTCCGGGTGAAATCCCGGGGTGGGCTGACTTTGAGGGGCCAGCAGGCCTTGAAACCGGGGAGCCGGAGGCAGAGACAAAAAGAACCGTATCTCCTTCTTTTAAAGAGAGGAGCCCTTGGAGAGATCTCCACACCTCTGCACCACAGGTTTTTACCCGGATGGAGGGACTGTGCCTGCAGTGTCCTTGCAGCCGCATGTGTCAGCATCCCCACTGGACTTAACTGTCTCTCACCTCCAGTCACTTCTCACTTGAATCCCTGCCTCGGTCTGCTCGGTGGCCACACTCAGTATTTATTTATTTTTCTATTAAAAAGCATATTTGAGGGGGATGGAGGTTTAGATCTGTGGAGGAACGCTTGTGCAAGCTGCATGGCCGGCTCTTCGGCATGGCCAAAGAACAAACAACCTGTATCACTCTGCCGTTGGGATCAGAGAGCTGGAAATTATGTTGTCCTGAAGCAGTTCTTCAACACTTCTATTTACATTTATCTTTAGGGGACTGTGGCGATGGCTCATCGGGAAAGGGTACTAATTTCTGTGCAAACATGAAGATCTGAGTCAGATTCCCCAGAACCTTGGCTTGTAAGCCCAGGGTTAGGGGTGTGCTGGACAGAAAAAGGCAGGAGGACTGCTGGGTCCCGCCTGCTGAAAAGCTCCTGATGCAGTAAAAGACCCTGTCTCAAGGGAATGAGGTTTGACAGTGATAGAGAAGGGCATCCGACAGCCTCCTCTGGCTTCCATAGGAACACACACACACACACACACACACACACACACACACACACACGAATACATCACACACAAAAAATTTATTTTTAAAAAGAGGTTATAGTGGTGCCATTTTAAAGTGTGTTCATAAGCATATAACTGGAGGAATGACAGCCACCCAGACAAGAGATAAAACTACAGAGCTCTAGCGCTTCCCAAGTGCTTGTTGGTTGGAATCCGACTAAGCTGGAGAGGGAAGTGCCCCTGAAAAGAGGTCAGGGGAGGGCAGGGGAGTGGAGGGGCTGGAAGGAGAAGAGGTGCTCCCAGGACCGCAGTCTTGCTGGTGGGAGAGACCCAATGAGAGAGGTGATGTCTAATTCCATGACCAATTCTCCTTGTGAATATTAAGTAGTGGCTCCAATCCCCACCTCCCCAAACACACACAAATGGCATTTGTTGCCTTAATACCTGGGAAGGGAAAACAGGACACCCCAGCAAACTTAGAAATACCATTGTTCCTGGATTAAGACCAATGGACCAACATATTTCCTACATCTGCCAAAGTGAGTGAGGCAAAAATAAGAAGCAGAGAGTGGACTGGCTAAGAGGGTCAAGATGCGTGCTGCTCAGGTTGATGACCTGAGTTCAATCCCCGGGACCCGTATGGTGCACTCAGAGAACTGACTCCTGTTAATTTGTCTTCTAACAGCTGTACTCATCTTTCTCTCTCTCTCTCCCTCTCTTACATACACACACACACACAAATAACTGTAATTTTAATGTTTAAAGAAACAAACAGAAGGGCAGGGTGTGGCATCCCAAACCTTTAATCTCAGTAGAGGCAGGTGGATCTCTAAATTCCTGCTCTACATAATGAGTTCCAGGGCAGCCAGGGCTATATAGAGCGACCTTGTCTCAAAATAATAATAATAATAAAATAATAAAGCAAACAGAATGTGAGTAAAAATTGTTCCTTGGAACAAATTCAGAGCTGAGAAGTTTCTTGATGAAGGAACAAACTAGAAGGCAGATCCTAAAAACATAAGCCGTGAGAAGAATCTTGCAAGAACCACGCAGCGACTCATCTTTTTTGCTGCTATGTGGCCCAGAAAAACGGATCAGATCTCAAACCTAGAGAAGGGTGGGTTTTTTTTTTTTTTTCATTTCTGGGGGTGGAGGGTTGGGGGAGTGGGAGAGGGCACAGAGAACGAGGTGAGAGTGAGCCTAAATTAATTTTTTTAATGATTATTTAGGCTCTGTGGACAACTGCAGCTGTATGTCCTCTCCCGCCCCACACCCTCCCTTTGCCGCCCTCCCCGAAGATGAAGGGATCTGGGACCTGGATGCCTTTCCTTCAGCTAACCTAAGCCTTTCCCACTTCCTAGCTATCCGCACAGTGCAGCTGTAGACCAGACAGCCGAATGTCTGTTGTAGACCGGCACAGCTAGGGCCCAGACCTGCAGCCTTTCTCTGCGCAGATGCCCTGGAGATTTAAATGTAATTAATGGTAGGAGCTATGGCTCCAAGGATTAGATTTTCAGAACACAGAATAGCCTTCTCATTTTTTTTTCTTTCTCGATCTCTCTCTTTTCAATTCCCCTTTCTTATTCCCCAATGTCATCGAAATTTAAAATTAAATATGAAAAATCGAACGAGGAGTCTCACCCACACGTGCACTGGGACACAGGAGAAAGGCTGGCTGAGGATGCAGAGGGCTGCAGGCGGCCGCCAGGAGCGGTCCAGCTCTGGGAGGATGCTTAGCGCGCCGCGAAGGCGGGGCCTGGGCAGGATCTGGGCGGGAACACGCGGACTCGGGGCGGGGTCTTTCAGTCACGTAGGCGCTGACTGCTGCTCGGCCGTGTCTAAGGAAGCCGAGGTCTGGCTTTGTCGCGAACTGAGGCACCGACGCTGTACCGCGATGGGCTCTTGCACTAATGTTCAGAGCTGCCTAGCGGCCGGGTTGCTGCAGAACCAAGTGGCGGTGGTCACCGGCGGGGCCACGGGCATTGGAAAAGCCATCTCCCGGGAGCTCCTGCACCTGGGTATGTGAGCAGGCCCCTGGGACTGGGCACCGAAAGCAAGGGTTCGCACAGGTCTAGCTCCGGGTAAGCTGGGTTCAGAGACAGAGGCAGGCCCTGGCGTGACAGGGCAGAAGTTGCCAAGCTAAAGGCTGCGAAGCTGAGCATTGCCAGGGACGAAAAAGAGGCTTCCCGCCCCCTCCCTTCCCAGCCGAGAAATGTTGGTAGATGAGCCATGAAGTAACAATGAAGTAAACGGACTTAGAACCAAAAAGTATTGAGCTCCAAGTAGGAAATAACTAGAACTGTGGAAACATGCTGTGGAATTAATTGTGTCTTTGTAACCTTAATCCATTCGAAATGGTTGCTAATTCCAGATTAGGTGGCATTCAGGAAAAGATTGAACGCCTGTTTGAGAGGCTCTGATGGCATTTTCTCACATTCCCTGTCGCAAGAAAAAAGAATATTTAATTTAGAAGAAGGAACAAAAACACATGCGCCAGAAAGGAAGCCACCGAGAAGAAAATAGTTCTATTTAATATTTAGACATGTGAGGATGAACATCTTTGGGGGGTTTAAGAATGCAAAGTTCAGCCAAGTGGTGTCTTTAATTCCAGCACTTGGGAGACAGAGGCAGGTCAGTCTCTGAATTTGAGGCCAACTTGGATCAAGTGCCTTCCAGGACAGCGAGGCTACACAGAGAAACCCTGTCTCAAAGGGGAAAAAAAGAGTTCAAAGCTTAAAGGCATAAACAGAAAAAGTATTTGTAACATGACACTTTTATTATGTAAAGAGCTTTGACAAGTAGATTTTTTTAAACCTGACATAATGAGGGGAGAGTGGGACTTGCTATGGCCCAAGGATTACAAGCTGAGCTACACATAGGAAATAAATACATGAAGAAGTGATCAACTTTATCTTATCGGCAATAAATTATGAAATAAAAACAAGATGCCATTGCATTTTTTCATCTTACCATTACTTCCAGCCTGTCTGCCACCATGAAACTTTCCCCTAGAGAAAAAAAAAGTAATTAATAAAAAAATCAATCAGTAACCATGGTACAAAGGTCAAGAGCTTGGCCTCTGTCAGCAGATTTGTAGAATCTTGTTTCACTTTCCAGAACCTTCTGTGAAGAGGCAGGTGGATCTCTTGAGTTCAAGGCTAGACTCATCTACAAATGGAGTCCAGACAGCCATGGCTACACAAAAAAAAAAAAAAAAAATTGTGAATTTCTAGGTATTGAACCTGTTTTTGAGTAAATTTGCATTAGGCAAACATTACACCAATTCTAGGGTCAGCAACACACTATTCTTGTGGCATGACTGAAATATTAGGACAGTCATGTGCCCTGGAGATGCTCGAAAGTGATGGATTATGTCCCTAGAAACTACTTCCTATATCTAAAAGAGATGTAAACATTGTATTGTATTATGATTGGATTACCTTCCATGAGAGAATATGAAAAAAATTGAGTTTTAACGATTTGTTGTACTTTTGAGCCAGGCATTACTGGCGCATGCCTTCAATCCCAGCACTTGAGAAACAAAGGCAGGTGGATCACTGTGAGTTCGAGGCCAGCCTGGTCTACATGGTGAGTTCTAGGACAGCCAAGGCTATGTAGAGAGACCTTTTCTCCAAAAAACAAAACAAAAGAAGAAAGAAAGAAGTTGTTGTATTTTTAAATATGTATGTGTGTTGCAGGTGGGGGAAGGCACGTATAAGTGAGTGTAGGTACCCATAGAGGCCAGAAGTGTTAGATTCCCTGGAACTGGAGTTACAGGTGGTTGTGAGCCACCCAAGGTGAATGGTGGGGACCCAACTCAGGTCCTCTGCAAGAGCAGTACATGCTCTCTTAAGCTCTGAGCCATCTTTCCAGCACCAACTATCTGAAATACTTTCTGCTCTGGATTTTTCATTTTTGTTTCTTATGCTGGAATTAATGGCTGTCCCCTGAAAGTTATTGTATAAACCCAAATTGGGCAATGGAATATTAGGAAACATTAGCCGAGAGCTGGCAAGGTGCGAAGGTGCCCGCTGCCAAGCCTGATGACCTGAGTTAAACCCTCAGGAGAGGAATGATGGGAAGACAGTACTGATTTCACAAGTTGCCCTCTGATCTCTTCACAAGCACCATGGCATGCACGCCCGCACATATGCGCACGAATAAAGCATTAGCTGATTAAACATGTCTGCCTTCCTGTGAAATATGATATATATAAGAATTCTTATATATATGAATGACTTAACAGCTGTTACAGGTCCTAGGACTCCTCTGAAGACCTAGCAAAGATGGTGAGCTAATGCTGTGCAAAACAAACTGATTGACCGTGGGAGAAAATCACAAGTGCTTCCTTCTTTTGTAGAAATATTAGAAGCTCTTTTACTTTTAGTTACAGATACGTAAGAAAATGACCAAAAAAAAAAAACACAAGTAGTCAGTAGTGAAACCATGTCAGGGCATTGTTGGTGGGAAGGGGTTGGTCGAAGGGTGCCAAGTATCACCTGGGAGGAGTTGGGGAAGGTGGTGAATGTGCTCAAAATACATTGTGTGAAATTCTCAGAGTTAACAAAAACATGAATTAAAAGGGCGCAAAGTTTCAAGCAGACAGAAAGAATAAAGTCTGGCTGTCTATTCTGCGTTGTGTGACTGCAGTTAAAAATAATATGTTGAATGGAGCTGGTGAAGTGGGTCAGTGGGAAAAGGCACTTGCCACCAAGAATAAGGACAGGGATTTAATTCCCTGGGCCTACCTGGTAGAGGAGAGAACACAGTTCTGCAAGTTGTTCCCTGACTTCCACATGTGTGCTGTGATCACACACACACACACACACACACACACACACACACACACACTCAATGAATGAATAAATAATAAAATAATTTATTGTTTAGAAAATGCTAGAAGACTTTTGTTTTGGTTGTTGAAAGAGTGTTGAGAATTGAACCCAGAACTTATGTGTGCTCAGCAAGTTCTCTGCCATCAACAGACATCCCCAACCTCTCTCTTTTAAAACTTCATTTCCATTCTGGGCCTTGAACTCACTCTGTAGCCCAGGCAGCCATTGGACTTGCTATCCTCCTGCCTCAGCCTCCCGAGTAGCCAGGACTACAGGCTAGAAGATGAGGTTTGGCTTAAGAATAGACCTTTACATATATGTACCACAAAGAAATGGCAAAGATGGAAGGAGATGTGCTAATTAGTCTGACCTGATCATTGCACAGTAGACGTACAGTTATTTGTCAGTTACCTGTAAAATAAGACCAGATGTAGTGACTATCATTTAATCCCAGCACTCAGGAGGCAGAGGCAGGTGGAGCTCTGAGTTTCAGACCAGCCAAGGCTATACAGTGAGACCCTGTCTCAGAAGGACAAAAGAAATGGTCCCTTTAGTGTGAAGCTTGTGTTGTCGCTTCTTAAACATCTCCAGCTTTTAGCTCAACCATTTTCCTTCTTTGTGCTGACCAGTCTGCATTCACGAGTTCGTGTCTTCTGGCTGCGTGCCCATGGTTGGCCAGCGTGTTATCATGCCTGCCTCAGCTAATCCCCTTGGAACTCCTTGGCTTCCCGTTCTAATGTCGCTCCCATTGTCTTGGGTTTTCATTTCTTTGTTCTGCTTTCATCACATTGGCCAGTCCTGTTAGAGCATTCGCTTTCGAAGAATGTCACACAGTTTATCATTGGAAGTGAGGAAATGGCATGGCTGCGTTCTGTACCATCTGAGCTGAAGAACAGATGGGAAAGAATCAATTCCTACAAGACAGCCCCCCACCCCACCCTTCCTCACCCCAGCGCCTTTGTGTGTATGAGACCTAATGAGTTTAGTTATGGTTGCTTGATAATCATGGGCTGGATGTTTTTGGTTTCTTTTATTAATGCATGAACAACATACCAGTAGCTACACCACTCTCAGGAGCCAGAAAGTTCTTCTCATATGTATGGCTTTTGCTATTATTCTTGAAAATATGTTTGCAGTAATTTGTGTTTTTGATGTTTCAGCATTGTGGGCTATTCCACTGTCTTCTGCCTTGCTCTGTTCTGGAAGAAGTTCCTGTCCTTCGTTGTTACTGTTCTGGGTGTCATGCATTGTTTTTCTGTAACTGCTTTGAAGATTTCTCTCTTCATCAGTAGTATTTTTTTAGATTTATTTTTATTTTCAATCATATATATTTGTTTGTGTGTGGGGGGTCATGCATGTGAGTATAGGAACCCTTTGAGACCATAAAAGGGCATCAGATCCCCTGGGACTAAAGTTGCAGGTGGTCATGAGCCACCCAACGGGGGAATGAACTTGGGTCCTTCGAACGAGCAGCAAGTGCTCTTAACCCTGGAGCTCTCTCTGTAGCCCCATCAGTAGTTTATTTGGGCATATCATCAGTGTCACTTCTGGGATGGTTTCTGTTAGTTGACATCTCTCATTATTGCTTTATTGCTCCTTTGTAGGTCCAGGGTTGTTTTTTTCTGGATGCTGATCAATTTGAGCCTTGTTGCTGCTGGTTGTTTTTATACTCCTTATAAACGTTTCTGAGTTCTCCTTCCCCACCTCTGCCCCCACTGCGATAAAGCTCAGTTACTTAGAAATAGTTTCATACTCCCAAAGAGTGTTTTAAAATTAAGAGTTGGTCCTGGCGACCGTTTCTCTCTGGCTAATGTCACTCCACTGCCAAAGCTACACCCTTTACCCAGTGAGAGGTGTTTTGTTTTGTTGTTTTTGGTGGTCAG